TATATATATATATGCCCCTTTGGAATGTGAAATGCCAAAAATTCTAAAGGTACTTGTTGAAAAATCATCTCCTGAAATACCTTTGTTCAAGATAGAAATAAAATGAGTCTGTAAAATTTATTCCTTTACAGATATGGCCGTGTTGTGTAAGTGTGAAACAAGTACATCCCTTCAATACGTTCGCCTACATTCAAAGGGATGTACGACTAGAGTATTTTTTTGGGTAAATTGTTGCTATAGCTTTTGATGATCTTTTGATAAAACGCGAATGGGAAACATTAGTTGAGCAGATTTTGTACGGCATTGCTTTTTGGCCCACACACATCCGCAAATATATTACATATCACTCTTTGATATCGCATCTATAATCATTGCTTGTAGACTTTTCCGCTGGTATGATAGACGTCTTGACTCAAAAGGCATTAGACCGAGGCTGCGCCGATCGCATTGTTGCTGCGGTAGACAACGGAGAGCTTCTGCAAACGGTGGAGAGTTCAAGCTGCGATGTATACGTATCTAACTTTGGACTCGTGTTCTTCAACAGCCCTGAAGATGGATTAAAGCAAGCGAAGCGGGTGCTTCGTAGTGGCGGGCGTCTGGCGATCAGTACATGGAGTGAGCACACGCCTGCATTTGATATTATTACCAATGTGCTCAAACAGCTCAAGGAACGCAATACGCCTGTGGGTGTGGAAGGTGTCCTAGATACCAAAGATCATACAATACAAGACTGTGGCTCCGGATCCGATTTTTCGAAACGTACCGAACATCTCAACACAGTGAACTCAGATGCATCTGCTCCTGATAGGGCGGGTGAAGGTACGCCGATCGCAAACAACCGCAGCAGTCAATCACAAAGCTCACCGAACCAAGCCTTCAGGCGCTTCAGGAATGCGTATGCTCTACCTGCACTTATGAAGAAGTATGAGTTTGAGGAGGTACGCGTTCATCCTATCTCACATCAATTATTGAAGCCGACACCCGACGCGTACTGGACGCGGATGTCCACAGCTTCTCCGGGTGTGTTTGAGGATACGACTTATATGTGAAGTGCACTGAGATTTGTATACTTGGTTTACTGGGGCGATTTCTTTCGACCGTATGCTAAGAAGACTTGTGGTCTATATTGCTTGTATTTTGGTCACCTTTGTGGTCAACGTGTACAGGTGTTTATTGGTTCCGGTAGTTTTGGGTGCTCGCTTCACCTAACTTCCCAGAGAAAAACCGGGTGCCTGCAACCCGGAGGGTGTTCACCTGTATCGTCAGTATGTGTGTGTTGTGTCGTAAATTCCCAACCGGAGATCAAGCCATTTTGTGTCATGCAAATGTATTCTCATCCACATCTTTATTTTGCATTGTTATTGATCGTTGATGCGCCCAGTGGTTTTTCTTAAATCGGCGTTGGGAGAAAATATTACCAACCCGTCTTTGGTCGTGATCTCAGTACATCCTTAATACCTGACCGCGTAGTGTTATCAAAGTGTTGGACGTAAAAAAGGATCTGGATCATGTGAGGAAATGGAAATTGCAGTGCTTTTGTGTCGGGTGGGGACGTGACTTTCGACAACTGAGTGAAATAACTTCTCGCACAACACGATTGTAAATATACTGAGTTTAGAAAAGTATAGAATATCCATGTGACCGTTGTGTGAGCTTGCGCATAATTCATATGTGAATTATGCCTATATGATCATGACTAGGCTCCACTGCCCCTTTCTGGCCGCTATCATGGGTGGATAAGCTGAGTGCGAAAACTAAATGCTAGTCAAACAATAGGATGATGCATACGCCCAACTTAAATATTGGCGTGGACGGAAGAAAGAACGTCTTACTATAGAGTTATCTTGTGATACTTGCTCGTCAACTAAGTACCACCTTATCAAACATATTGCAGGGACCATACACACACTCGGCGAACTGTCCAGCTCAGATAGGGAATGGGTGAAAAAGACCACAATTCAGTGTCTCACCGACCAGTTTGGCGCCGGGCCAGTATCACTTGAGGCGAAAGCCTATATTGTATTAGCAAATAAAACTTAGTGCTATCCGGTACTAAAACGTGCGTATGAGGTTGTAAATTCAATGATTGATATTTTGGGCTTTATTGGGCGTGTTCGAATCGGTGCTGACTGGAAGAACTGGATACTAGCTCAGGTAGATGTGCAATTGATGTCGAACGAAAAGTGAATAACAAATAGACAGGATGGGATATCTATACTGGTCATAGGGTGCGCCAACGTACCCTTTACATCTCCGCAAGCTGGGTGAACAACAAACGCTTTTATGCCTCAGGACAACAAACGCATTTGTTGTGAACACTTGTTGTGAACACTTCAGATTTAGAGAACGAGAGCCCGAATGCGTGGTATTAATCTTTGGTATTTCAGCAGCATGTGCTTGATCCCATTACTCTCGGGTTTATTGATTCAAACGGAAGCACAGCTTTAATAATAAAAAGTGAGAGAAATTTATTTTTTATAATACTAGAATTGCTTTTTAGACCGCTGATACCGAATCAAGATGAAGAACTGACGAAACCTCTCTCGACTTTAATAATTCATGTTATCCAGCAATATGTCTACCGTCGGCATATAAGCTCAAGAAATATAAACCACAGTGACAGAATGTTTTTGTTTCTTTCTAAAGTATCGCAAGACAAAAAAAAAGGAATTCTAATCTACCAATGACACTTCGCTGTATTTGTGGAGAACTTGAGGAATCCACTTAGAGCATTCAAGGGATTCATTCTTAAAGTTTACAAATATACCTAACCATTCCAAGTTTTTAACTAACACGTTATTTCAAACACACCAGGTCATAGGGGCGGTTGATTGACAGGAGAAAGTGGCAAGCGATCAACTAGATGAATATGCTGATGCACAACCAGATGGTCACCAACAATGATTGAAGCGTGCAGCGTTTAAAAAAATTACATCAGGACAACAAGTCCAACACCATGAAGCTCTCAATTGAGGTGGTATCTCAATTGGCACTGGTTTGAAGTGCAATTCCTCAGCCCGTGAACTCATCTAAAACAGTAAGGAGGCATGGTGGCGTCTGAGAGGTGATAAGTTCAGACAAGATCGTGACTGGTACATAACAACCTAGATTATAGCTTCACATGGGCAGATTGGAATCAGCCCAGACAAAATAACAATTCTTTCCGAAATACAGGTTAAACAAGACCTTAACCGCAACTAACCCTTTTCGATCATGCCATGGAACCTGGAGAACGTTATCTGCACTACAAACGTGGGCCGAAAGGAAAAACAGCCTGGTGAGTCACGTCATTGGAAAGTACAGATAGTCGATACTGGTCATTGTTCCTTTGATTAAGAAAGTATCGTCTTGTCAGATTATGGTTGGACAAAGAAAGGAACAAAATCAAATCCTTGAGAGCAAAGGAAAATACGATTCGAGCATGACCTGCTCCGAAGCAATACAACCCATGGTTCTTATACTGAAAGCCGCTGGATGGTCGTGGGAACAATATGAGATGGTTATCTGAATAGCCTCCTTGTGGGACTGGCCTTCAATAACCCTTTAGCTAATCCCAGAGATTTACCAGAATACACCTGCAACATTCAAAAAGTATTCAACACTGCTGAAGGAAAAAAAATGGAAAGGGATGTGTTGTGGGTAATATTACTTCGATCTCGGCGGATAACAACACATTTGACTGCGATATATATATATATATATATATATATATATATATGTAGCACAGACCAATGTCGTGGTCTAAAAAGAAAGCGCAACCATGATAACCCACAGCCGAGGGAGTTTGTATAGCAGCGTCCATGTCAACAAAAGAAGTTCTCACGCTACTTCATATTGTTGAGCGAAAAGAATCAGAGAACACGGGACAAGGGGTGCTGGGCTGCTGGCAATAAGTCAAAACAGCTTTCGTACTGAAATCTGTCAGTAATATAAACTTCGATAAATGTCTCAAATGTTTGGATCCACACAGACGAATTCAATGCACCGAAGGTGATATGGTCGCCGAGCTTCAAACCCGTACTAAACGTCGAACCCAGCAGATCCTTATCAATTTTGCCCACATTGCAACGGGAAATCAGTTTATTGAATTGCCCTGTCTCGAATGAAATGATAAATGTTTACACGGGATGTAACAATGGGCAAGTCAGTGCAAACAACGTACGACGTAGCAGCGGGGGAGATGTGAACTCGACTACCACCAAAAAACCTCGCGAGATTATATAATGGGTGAACATTATTGCTCATTTAAACGAAAGTGCCAACAAAAAGGCCATAGCCAGCCGAAGGTTATCTTCTGTTTATGAAATGAGGTGAAGAGTGCATGTAACAACACGTTATATGTCAGGACAGGAGGCAAGCTAAAATATCTGAATGTGGAATTTGATTTTTCTACCCATACGTACCTGTTGAATGAAGAAGCGGATGTTTCGCCATTTTGCTGGATATATTGAAGCAATGCAGGATCAGACCGGAATCCATTGTCAGCATACAACCTTCAGAAGCTTTTGTCAAACGAGTGGGAGGTCTTCAATACTTACCGTACAGAATTACGTTCCGAATGATCCTGAAAGGCAAGACTGTGTTTGAGACGTTTACAGCCCTAGGTCTCATCGACAAATGCTGAGCTTCTGCTAAGAATGTCATTATACGATCAATCCGTCGCTGACGAGGATAGAGTGAATAGAACCTTGACGTTGCACAATGGCTCTCTTTATCCTGTTGCAATACTGTCCAAGACAGTACAACAATGACACGAACCACAATGAACAATAGCGCGACGCGAAAGGATCATGCAACACCCATACACGTGGTTGAATGTAGGGCACTTCCACCCATTGCCTCCAAAACCGTCCGAGCATATGATTGCTGCATATTTGGTAGTAGAAGCAAAGAACCAGAGAACAATAAATTCTTGATTGGTGATATCAAACATTACTAACGAAGCTGTGTAATTTCACAACAGAACTATTGGTGAAGCCGAGGTTGTGTCCGGTAAAAAAATTACTGACGATGGACAGTTATTGCCATTCCGAGAGTAGTTGTTAGCAATTTGGCTGAAACCAAGTGATATGGGCAGCTAACTGTGCTAGAAAAGGAACGCCTACTGCCATTCAACTACAAGCACCCGTAGGACCTCTTGATAGAGCAATGCAAACAAGGTGAAAGGTTTATCACTAAACACACAAATTTCTTTAATCAGAGCGCGGACGAACATAGATACATGTATGTAGATCCGGTAGATTTGGAATTCAAGCATGGCGATGTGACTCGATCTACGTAAAGCAGTATTCATTATACAAGATACAGCAAGATGTGTTTAAGCAATAGCAGCATACTTGCAGAAAAAAAAAGAAAATATACAATGCTCAAACTCAAGAGTACAACTCGCCCAACTCGCCGTGTTTTATAGTGCCTAACAAAAAAGAAAAAGGAAGGCTCGTCTCGGACCGCTGGGCTATCAATGAAGCGTTGGTGTACAAGGACTAGCCTCTAGTGTCTATTGAGGAGTGTTTTAGTATATTTGCTGATTGCAAAAACTTTGCAATATGATATTTGAAGGACGGGCCCTTTAAGGCTGCTGGTTGACGAAGCTAAAAAAAAAGTGTCACATTTTCTACTCCACAGGCCAAGTATGAGTACAGAATATAGCCACAAGGTGCCATGACGAGTGGAGTCATCTTTTGCCGCTAGATAGCGTCTCTTCTCAAAAACATAGACACTTCAGTGTCAATAATATGGAAAGAATGCAGTTTGAATATCGGTCCTCTATCGATGAATACATATAAATGGTATTATCCGCCTGTTTGTAAAAACTACACATGTTTAGCAAGGCTTTCACTAATCAAATGAAGGTGCACCGCATGGAAATAACGCTTGCCACATTGTCGCTCTATCTTCATCCGGTGTACAAATAGCACGTATAAATTCAACGGTTTAGGATTGCAAAAACGAAATAACGGTTATATGTGAAGGAATAGCAGTTCGTGGAATTGTACCTTTGTAGCAAAGATTGCCATTCCGTTGGCGATTACTGTGAAAACAAAAAACATTCGCCGTGTATTTGTTAGTTTAGAAATTCACCTGACCGCGTCCCACATTATACAAATCTCACGTCATCTCCGTGATCAGGTCGTTTCAAGATTAGCCACAATAATAAACAGTCTTTCGCCCTCATTGTCTCTTACGTTTTACAATTTCTATCTTTTGTTTTGTCCAGATTTTTTTCTGAGGTCAACTCAAGTGTATATATTTTGCTCCCCGTGAATAGGTTTTCATCAAACTTATGCATTGATCTGTCGCGCAAATAGGCCGAGAGTTGTAAATGCTTTTGTTCGACTGGATAAGTACCTTTACATATTTATCACTCTCGGCGTCTGGCTTTGTTTATTCCTGCACGCAGCAATGTTGCTGACGAAACTCGAAGGAATACGCAATATTGAGACATCTGGACATTGCGAGGGCTTCTACGTGTAGATATGTTTTAACATTGTTGTGTACTTATATTATCGAATATAGCACATTGTCCAGCCACAGATGTAACATCAACAGGCTGAGCAAATATAAATGTATCGTGAAAATTTGTGACTTCACCATAATCAATTTGACGAGACCAATTTATTACACGACACCATTACCAGTGTAAAGTAACATGTCTGGTCCGAATCTTAACAAACTTTTTTTTCAACAGGCGCGATAGATGAATTATACAGCAGTGATGGTATTGTTACAGCCATCGTATGGATGACTTCATGCTTGCGTTAGCGACTGTTTTGATTTTTTAAAAACATATATTTAAAACATAGCCTTTGTCTATTTTAGAAGGCTATGCTAAACATTTACAATATTGGTTAGACAGCGTTTTGGCTTTTCGATGACTTTTGGCTGATCCCAGTATCCGTGACTTGACTGGTTAGTTGTGTGGCTGTTTGCCATTAGATATCGCACTACTCCAGTAAATATGATGGAAATAATAGTGTCCGAGCAATTCTTAAACGTTGAAATGAGTTTGAGTACAGTGTGTAAACAACCACTGAATTAACTGTTCCCTGATCCTCTACAGAT